GTCTGTAAGCTACTTGAACATAGTTGCAGACCAGGTTCACCCATTCATGGCAACAGTTTTTCCTGCGGGGGATGGTGTTTACCAACAGGATAATGCACCATGTCATAAGGGTCGAATCGTCGAGGAACATTCCAGTGACTTTCAAGTCATGCCTTGGCCCCCAAATTCACCTGACCTTAATCCGATGGAGAATTTGTGGTCCTACTTGGAAAACCAAATTCGTGCTGCCACACTACACTCGCAATGTGAGGGAATTGCAGGACCAGTTGGTGAGCGCTTGGTACCAGATACGTCGTCAGACTACCTATCAGCACCTTGTGGAACCAATGTCACGGCTGGTGCTAGCAGTTTTGAGGACTAACGGTGGTCCTACATGTTATTAGCAGGGTGGTCATAATGTAATGGCTCTTCGATGTATATATATACTTCAAACTTACTAACTACGGAAAGATTTTTAGATTATTATTACAAGAAGTGTTGGACATGGTACCTGATGAATAATTAGACATTTTAACAAAATATAGAGAACACTGGTTTACTCAGCCTGACAATTGGTGGTCAAAGTCTTCATAATGAAAGTAATGATAATGGAAAGATGCTGATAGATTTTGCATCTGTTAATACCCTTATGATTGGTGGTACCCAGTTTAAACTTAAAAACATAAATAAAGTTACTTGAAAATCAAAACATCACAAATCAGGTTGACCATGATCTTACGTTGATTTTAGACGCAAGAACAGCTTGATGGATGTATGTAGCTACAGAAGAGTAAATGCAGACTTCACTTCTTAGTATTGTAAAAACTCAAATATAAATTAAATAAATTATATTATAAGAAGAAAAAAAAGTAGTTATATTTAAATCACCAAACGTACAAGAAATGAGTAAACCGAAAGTAATCTATAATTATAAATTTAAAGTGAGCGAAGGAATACGCTCAAGGTAAGAATCATTAGGAGAAGATGACAAGACGACATTGAAGCAAATAACCACAGAAAACAACTAAAGAAGTTCTCTCATGTATCGAAAGAGATATGCACTAGGAATGATTCCATGCTGAATGCTTAGAAGCTAATACCAAGAAAAATAAAGCTTATAAAGTAATGATTCAAAATATTATTAGAAATGTTGAAGAGTTATACAAAGAACTAAGAAAACAAGAGAAATACTTGCTTAAAAATTTAAAAAAAAAAAGAATTTTTTAGGAGAGCAATTTAGAAACTTGTAAAATCTTAAGTCTCAAAATAATGAAACAAGAAGACTTTTTCAACTAGTAAATATTATGTAAGGTAATATGCTATATTTAAAATCTCCAATATACTATATGATAGCTATGCTTCATCGTGTGGCAAAAATCATCGGTTAATACTGTTAAATTTGAATTGAAAACATTACAGAAATTTATTGTGGTCTAGATTATACTATATTTATTTAACAGATAGGAGAAAAGATGCCGTTCCCGGCATAGCAAAAATGTAAACAAAACTAACTTGCAACAACCGTTGCCAACAAACAGTATCGCTAGATAAAAACCAATGTTGCCATCACAAAAAAGTGATTCGAAAAATAACATTGTTAAAAGGCATGTATTTCAACAAATACCAATATATATTCGAATTAGGAAAATCTAGCATCAACCAAGTCTATACAGTAAGACAGATATTAGAGAAAACCAGAGAATATAGTGTCGACACGTATAATCTTTTTATTGATTTCAATGTAGCATGCGATATCAAAAAGATGCAATGGCCACAAAAAATATCAATCCTGTGAAAGTAACTCTTTCAAGTGATTGATGTAATATCAAAATACCAAAATGACCTTTCCGAGGCAATTTTTACTGATAACGGTTTTAGGCAAGGCGATACTTTATCATGCCAACTTTTTAATATTGCATTAGAAAGAGTCAACACAAACGCAAAGATAACAACAAATGGCTCTTTTTTGACAAAAATTCATTCAAGTGCTGGCATATGCGGGCGATTTTGATGTTGTTGGAAGATCAAAACTTTTTTAAGGCGTTTGTAACTCTTTGGACAGAGGCCAAAAAAAAATGGGTTTAAACCTCAAAGAACATAAAACAAAATTGGTCGTGACCATACAAGAGTCTGATATTGTATTACTTTTGGTGAATGATCACAGCTTTGAGAAAGTCACTAAATTTAAATATCTAGGAACAATTGTCACTAAAAAATAATAGAGTGAATGCTGAAATTGATCGCCGATTGATGCGTACGATAGTGATCTGTTTGGAGAATTGATCGCCAAACAAATGCCGCACTGAATTAAGAAACCATCTTAGATCACGATTAGTAATGAAACGAAAATCAGTGTGTATAAAACACTAATCCAACTAATAGTCCTTTGCGAAAGCTGGACATCGAGTCTCCAAAACAGGCTACTAATTTTTGAAGAAAAAAAATTGCTGCAAAATTTTTTTGTTGCTATCCAAGAAAAAAATGTCTTTTGAATTCTCTTCTATGTCTCTAAGTCTTTTGAATTCTATTGAAATATATAATCGATATAGGCAACCAGATATAGAGTAAAAGTTATCAAACAAATCATGCTGAATGGTAAAAAATGTTGAATGCCAAAAAGCGTTCGTTATTAAATTACGAAATACGGTCACAGCCATGTGGTGAAGCAGAACCGGAGCAAATCTGTAAGGAAGACGTGCCACCATTTTCGTGTCCAGTTTAGTTGTTGACTTTACCACTAAAGACATTCAAGTCTTTGATACAACTTCAAATGTATTAGAAGTCCTGGTCACCACACGGATATGCAAATACAAAAGTTTTAGATCTGCCAGAATAGAAACTTGTCACCTAATAAAGGACTTCATTTCTCGACTCATGAATCGCGACAGCGCTATCCCTTTTGGCCATTTCTGGCTGTTAGTGCCGCTGAAATCCAGCCTGAAGCCATCGTTTCGTACGACTGTCCTTAAACCATCTCTGTGCAATTTCGACCAACGTGAGGAACAAAATCATGATACGATAAGTCGCAGTCCCTATAAGCTATAAACTTTTCTGCAAGCATTTTCCTTCTTATATAAGGCAGTACAACATTTGTTAGGCAGTAAGTAACGCCCAGAAGCAAATTAATTTTGAGAAAACTATTGCCAATTCTCAGTTATTACACGCATTCAAGGTGCGACTAGTACCGCTAGAACTAGTGCTTTTTAACCTGAAATATGAATTATTTCAGAGTGTTAGCTCCCAAAATCTGTATATTGTATTGGATTGGAATTCCAAAAATTTATAAAAATTCACGTAGGAACATCACGTAGGAAACGTTATCCATAGCCCCTAGAGGGATTAGCAATGCATACCTGCCAACTTTTAATCCCTTCCATTATTATTTTTCCCAGTGGTATTAAAATGGAATTAAAAGTTCAATTTTAAGCAAACAAATGCGTTGTATTTGAGAAAACTTAAGTTGAAAACTATGACAGTAACGCATATTAATATATGTGCTTAATTTTTGTAAGAATAGTGGTAATCAATATCATTTAAAAATTCAGATTATAAAAGAAAAATAGTATATTATTACTACCACTTTAAATATGAAAATAAAATCTTCCGGAAAATCCGGAAAAGTTGGCAGGTATGGCAATGAAATCTAGCGGCACTGGAAAAAAATTTTTTTTTGAAAATCTAATAGGAATTTAAAAATTACAAATATAATAAATTACAAAAACCTCATAAAATTGGTTTTATTATATTGCGTTATGCGATGTGGCATGAAAGTTAAGTAAGATGCATCCTAGTTCAGGTATTAGCCATGGCATCGGTCAAAACTACTTTATATGATATTTTTAGCATTGCCACAAAAGATAGAACATCAGTAATTTAAGATAGAGCAATCAATAATAGACGAGGTGCTCTGTTATTAGCGTGGCATGGGAGTAGTACGAAATAAAGAAGTCAGTTGAAAATCCAAATACCACACAAAAATTATTAATTATTTAGGGTAATTTTTTTAACATCTACGACATTTGCATAATATTCTCAACGTATGTACGCACTGAGATTCATGGCAGCGATTTTAAACCTTCAGAACTGAAAGTTTGGATGAAAGAAAATCGTCTAGCAAAGCAAGGCTGGAAATTCCCTGATGCAAACAAAAGGCATGGTTAGTGGGAGAAAATTAAAAAAGACAGCGATTGCCATCAAAGAAGGTGTTAGAAAATTCGAACCATGGTGCAAGGCTTTACTTCTCCGGCGAATGGAAAATCTTATGCTCTCAAAAATACCAGTCATGTTCCGGACTTTCCCAGAAGCTGTAACGATGCGTGCATTAAGACACTTGTACTTGATCAGTACTTTACTTGATGCCAGAAAAAGTCGAGGAAAAAAAGGTCTAGTGATCAAGCGGGTCAATGTTGGTCGTGACCTTCCTTTCGTGCGTCGTCACTCTTAGGTCAGGAAAACATGTCCGAACATGCATTTATATATTATATATGATTTTCCATCGTCTATACTAAGCGAGAATTGATATCGAAATTTTAAAGAAAGCTTCAGGACATTAGGTAATAGTTTTAACTGATTAGCGCCAAAGTTAGGGCCATCTTAGCACTTGTCATGGCTAGTAGGTAATATGAAAAGAATGGCCGACTGAGCAAGGAATCGATAGAAGTTGGCAGTGTTGACAAAAAAACGACAGATCTCTATGTTTACTTGCGCTAGCAAAGTATAAGTGTACTGTATCTCTCCTACTGAAAGTTTGTAACCTCAGAGTCATAAAATAACTGGTATGTATGAAATAACTGATTGTAAACTAAATTCATTTTAAAATAATTTACCAATTGGCACATGGTGATGTATTTTTTAAAAGTCAAGTGTATTGTGACGTCATCGCCTAGAGCTGATATTCCGTAGTACGTATACATCAAAATATGCACAAAGGAGTTCGCAATTGGAAAAACTGTATTATAACCACCTAAAAAGAAAGAAAAAAGACAGTTTTATTTAAATTAATGAAGTTCGTTCGAAAAACTCAAAAGAAAAAAACTATATTGATAGTCTTGAGTACAAGATTGAAAAAAGCATAAATAAAGCACTTAAGTCTTGATTAATGCAGAAGTATTTATCCTCAATCTCTATTTTGGCACTAACGATGAAATTCTGATAGTATCGGCTGTCGTTTCTTTTAATTTTATTTCTGCTTGATAGTAGTTTTAAGTTCTATTAATGGCCCGTTAAATATTTTAATGTAATAAAAAATGTTAAGGTTCTCAAACAATATTTTAATGTGCTGAAAATGATAAATTTTATTTTCGAAAATTTATTATTGCATAATACAGAAATCAATGCCAAAGTGAAAGCGCTTTTCTTAATGTCAATGACTTCCATCTCGCTGTGTTTGAAATAAATCGCGTTGTCCTTTGAAATTCTTTGCTGTTAAGCTAAGAAGAAAGATAGTGATGTTATTTTTATGAAGTAATTTTAAGTAAGATTTTTGGTGTAGTCTCAATAAAATCAGCCACCTAAGCCTCTGATAATGTCTGCATCACTGAGATAAAACCACTTTCATGTCAAATCTCAAATCTTTGCTGTTAAATCGACTTAGAGAAGCAATAATTCAAATAATAAGCTATATTTAACTTATACTATATTTAACTTACGTGCAACTGGTTGGACTGCAAAATAAAAGTATTAATATTTTATGAAGATAAAATTTTACTGGTTTCCAAACTTTTTAAGCTATTGAAGCGTAAATTACGTTAGAATTAAATTTGTACTTTTAAGAAAAAACCTACGATATTTAATAAACATTTTTCACGTGTGTATTTTTTTTATATATCATTTTTTAGACTGCAACTCTGACTGCAACTTTCAGCTATTGTTTTTTTCCTTCTAATTGAAGGGAAAAAACAATAGCTGAAAGTATTTTAGCCGTTGTTACTTTTTGCCCTCCTTAAAAGAAGATTACTGTATTCAGTATATGTAGTTGATATCTGCTGTATTGGTGTGGTGATCATTTTGTGTTTTCACGGCACGTGCTATTAGTTACTGAGTAAATTTTTTCCCCTCGGCAATACTTAATTGTAAAATTGTTTGTAAGTTACATTTGAATTCTTAACTAAAGGTCTGGTTTCTTAGGACAAGTGCCTTATCTGGGCGTCAGCGGAACGTCAACGTCCCGCTGACGCCAACAAAATACTGGTTTGTTAGCTCAAGGCCTGGTTTCTTAGAACTAGCGCCTTATCTAGGCGTCAGCGGAAAGTTGACGCAGAGCTGACGCCAAAAAAATACTTTTTTGTTAGCTCAGCGTGAGCAGTCGGTCCAACGCAGACATTATCTCTCATTGCGCATGCGTTAATAACGTAAACAAATATTTATTTTGAATTTGTATTGATTTTGTTATTGTCAACCAGTGTTTTAGAGAACAAATAATGACTTTGTCCAAGAAAAAACACATTATAGCTGAGCTAAATGAAGAGTGCTATGTTTAATGAAGAAGCTATGTTTAATGTCAAAATCAAAA